GCCAAAGGTGGTTCCTTTACAGATTTCTGATACGGTGGCTCGAGTGGGTCAATTGCAAATTCGGGACCATCAAGTGCTTTCTCTGGTGTGTAAAACCATGTACGCCATCTAACTTTTTTCTTAAAATCCATCCAATTTAATTGCAGTTCATTCCAGTCAATGCTAGTGGGTGTAGGCACAAAGGAAGGACCACGACCGCACAATTGAACTAAAGATTGTTCTATATTCTTATCTGTAAGGTTGACTGGCTGGTATCCATGCGGTCTATTTATTGGCTCTGAAGTTAAGGTTGAGCTATTCGCTGTCGGCCTTGCAGTTCTCAGCCCATCTCGTGAATACTTTCTCAGACGTGACATCTCAAACGTATCTTTCAATTTACGAGTCCGCTCTTCCAGCTTAGACATAATGTGATGGGCCTTTTCAGGATAAAGTCTTTTGATAGCTTGAGTGAGTTCCCATTCTTCCTTACTGAACGAGGGGATTTTATGTTTGTAATATGCTTGAAATAAACACATAAGTTTGACTGAGCATTTCCTCAATGTAGAGTTAACTCGCGATGTAATAACTGAGTCAGCAACACCAGAATGAAATTTCAACAGGAAACCCTTCGGGATACATTTACATGTTCGATAACGCCCAAGTAACGTAACGTGATGCTGAAATCGAAGCAAATAAAGCAAGCAAATAAACGGTTAAATAAATAAATAACTTCGAAACGCTCCATGGAGACAGAGTAAAGTAGAATAGTATATGTGACAAATGCCAGTACTCTGCTCAGCCGACAAGACTTCATATAACAAACAGAACGGCTACGTTTGAAGAAGTTTATTAAAAAAAAAGGTATATTAAATACAAAAACTAAATTTTCGGCTGCATGCCACAGCCCATGGCCAGAAATGGAGTCCAACATGGCTGCCAAGCATGCGCATTTTGACTCAAAATAAAAATTCAAAATGGCGTCTTCTTATATAATTTGAGTGGGAATAATGCAAAATTTGTATTTTTGATAACTTACGGTTGAGAAATCCAAAATGTGCATATCTAAAACTTCACCGATTCTGTCCAACTTTTATCCGTAAAATAATTGGTAGCACTCGAGTTGTCTAAGTATGTTCCCGAGCAATCAATATCTCTGCCTAGTCTCTGCATAGGAAAGTATGCGATTTCGACATATTCGGTATTTTACAGGTCCAATTTCAACTCGTTCTTTACAGATATCGTCAAATGTGCATATCTGAATTGCTTCGTACAGTATTTCTCTTTATTATTGTCACTTGTATGAAGCGTAAAAGTATACACTAGTATGTTCCCCAAAGCGATGAATTGCATGTATTTTGTAGAGGTGTCTGTCCAATTGTGATGAGAAATGCACCATATTTTGAACAAAAATATCACAAATTTCGCACCAAGAGTTACATTTGTTGTCCGCCATTGCCTTTATAAAGCTGTTGCTACGTTACAATGGTTTTAACCGCTGTCAATATAGGCTGTAGTCTCGTAAATATTCTAAAATTCGCGGGATTTCGTAATAATTTTGATTTGCCGACTTCAAAACATTTATAACTATTGAGTATTTGTAGACTTTTGAAATTTGAGCATCGATCAAGACTCGGTTGGCGTAAAGTTTGTTATATTTTATAATTTTGTTGGTTTTCTATATATCTGGTTGTATTTGCAATGTCGGATATTCCGCCTTTGCGCCCTATGTATACTTGTTTGCAATGGAAATTATGTGTTGAAAGCCATTCATTAGCTTATCTCTTCTTATTTTCAATTTATAAATCTGCCGTGCTCAGATTATTTAGTTTTCGGTAAAACTCACTGAGCTATACTAGTAAAAATAAACAGCCATTTTGCCAAAACTGAACCACTGATCTGTTTAGTGCATTGAATTATCAAGAAAACATGAGCCCGCACGCCCGACCGCTTGATGTCCTCCATTTCTGGCCATGCTTTACACAGAACATACTTATATACAATAAATTATGAACAAATTACTATTGTTGGGCGAAATCATGACTACCATTAAGGCCTTTCCGGTTGGTCAACAACATTCCTATCCAAAAGTTTTCACTCTTAAGTATTTCACTATGGTGTTGGTCAATAAGCATAAATTTTAAGCTCGAATGATCCGCCTCATGCACATCAATAAAATGATTTGTTATACTGCATGTCCGGCGCTTATGCTTAATGTGTGATTTGTAGTTAGCTGTGTTTTTGTTACCAAGTTTAATCCTAGTGCTCCTGATATTCAAAAAATTTTTCGTAAACATCGCTCTGTTTTAGATAGTGATGAACAGGCCAAAAAAATTCTACCGGAGGGTGCCATTCTTGTTTCGTATAAGCGTAATGCCAATTTGAAGGAGTTATTAGCACCATCTAACCCATATAAGCCCAATAAACTGGAAGGTGAAGGCTGCTACAAATGTGATGCCAAGCGCTGTGATAGTTGTAAGAACTTTTTGATTTTTGGCAATTCCTTTCGTGCAGCTGCCACTGGAAGGATATTTCTCATTTTAAAATCTTTGACGTGCACTTCCAGTAATGTAGTGTATCTTGCTGAGTGTGTGCTTTGTGGTTTGCAAGGTGTTGGCTCCACTGCCAATTTTAAGTCCAGACTAGCTAACTACAAATCACACATTAAGCATAAGCGCCGGACATGCAGTATAACAAATCATTTTATTGATGTGCATGAGGCGGATCATTCGAGCTTTAAATTTATGCTTATTGACCAACACCATAGTGAAGTACTTAAGAGTGAAAACTTTTGGATAGGAATGTTGTTGACCAACCGGAAAGGCCTTAATGGTAGTCATGATTTCGCCCAACAATAGTAATTTATTCATAATTTATTGTATATAAGTATGTTCTGTGTAAAGCTATAGGCACTCTGAAGAAGGCTGTGGCATGCAGCCGAAAATTTAGTTTTTGTATTTAATATACCTTTTTTTTAATAAACTTCTTCAAACGTAACCGTTCTGTTTGTTACATATATATATATATATATATATATATATATATATATATATATATATATATATATATATATATATATATATATATATATATATATATATATATGCTTAAGATTTCCTTCAACCGCATTTAGCTTTTCATGGACAGACGCTAATTCTTGCTTAAAAGTTTTTGAATTTGAGCTAAATCTGCCATATTACAATATAAATAACAAAGAACTACAAACAAAACGGACAAGGTCGCTACAAAATACGTTTTTATACTCAAACGAGCATACATATAGCTAGTCAGGGTGGGAGCTCAAAACCAACATCCTCACTCGACGACGCAAATTTTTTTTCCGTAGACAGTCGGACTCCTCATTGTGTGGTGATGACATCTGACATATTTTATTAAGTTATATTCGCCATTCCCACTTGTTTTTCTTTGCTTTTGTAACCTGTTTTTTGTAACTCTTTTTGGAGCGATTGCAGAATACCCGTTCACTTTTAAGCTATGCCTTTCAAACAACATGTATACTATGTATTAATGCATCTATATTTATTCTCGACAGATTAATAATAAATAGATTGATAGATTAAAATCCCATGGTGGTAAAGGTAGCTACAAGGCATACAGTGACTTAGCATTAATAGATTAAATTGTCATTAGTGGATACGCAGATACGCAGTCAAGTAGTTATTTTGAGAATGAGGCGTACAGTTAGATTAATAATAGAATAATTAGATCAAATTCTCATGCTATAGGTAGCTCTATATTTTAGTGGATACGTGGATACGCAGTCAAATAGTCAAGTAGTTATTTTGAGATTGAGGCGACAGTTAGCATTAATAAATTAAATTCTCATGCTATAGAGAGCTTAAATGTGGTGTAATATGTAAATATGTTCCTCACAACCGGACATTGGTGTTTGACAGATTATGATTAATTAGCATCGCTGGGACTGGGAGAAAAAGTTATATTATAAAGCATATTAAGCATAATATTAAACATTAAAAGTCTTTATTTTCTTCATTAAAAGTCGTTTTTATTTCCTTTATGCTCTTTATAGTATCAATCTGGCGGTAATATTAGCGACTTTAAGATAACCGACTACGGACTACAGACTACGGTTAAAAATCGGCGCATGGACTGGGTCGAGTACTGTCACCATCTACCGCGCGCGGGAACTTTAAGGGGGTCTTCCACCCTAAAAACATTTTTTTCATTTTAAAGGTATTATCATCATATTTGAGTCAAATATGATGGAATATCCTCAGCTGACGCAGGATCCGTAACTTTTACATTCGTCGTTGCCATAGTAACTAAGATAGGCCTCGCTATAGGGTAAAATATAGGGTTTGCTCCAAAAATGATGTGAGCCAAACTAATTCACCGAGGATTTTAGAAACAGCATTAATGGACACTTAATACATCGATCTATGTCATGAACCTAAAAAAATATACAAGTAATATAATAAGGCCTTCATATTTTACTTTTTTTAAATTATATGAAGAAAGGAGTTCTTATAAGGCTACTCGTGCAATGTATATTGCTGATATATGAAGTTTTTCAGGTCCATGACATGGCTATGTAACAAGCAAATAAACTCTGAAAATTTCGAACGAATTGATTCAGTATGAACAGTAGGAGAGTTTTTAGTATTTCGCAAAATGCTCATGTGAGAAAAGCGATTTTAAAGTTTTTGCATATATTAGAATAACTTAGATAGAACAATATAATTGAAAATGGAACAATAGACTAAACCAATCGCATATCTTTATCGCTCCGGGCAAAATCGTGGTTTTACCCTACGAAGGTGTAGAATTTCCTGGATTTCTCTGGTTTACGGTACATTTTCGTTCTTAAAATTACACGGATTTTATAAAGAACGCTATAAAGACTACATTTTTACGTTTTTCTAAAAAATAACGAATATTGGAAAATTTGGGTGGAAGACCACCTTAAGATAGAACAACACGAATACAGCTACGGTTAAGTTCTGTTCTCCTTGTATACAAAGTAAAAAAGTCTTTTAAACAAAATGCCATCATTCCAAGAAGTGTGCGATGCCTTGATAATTGCTCTGGCTGATGAAATTATAAGCGAAGAGGAATTTGTTGTTTTATTTGCACAGTACAAACCTCAAAATCCAGAATTTCCTTACTGGACATACGATGGATTCGATTTTGAAAATTTGGATCCCCAAGAATGCAAAGCGGAATTCAGGTTTGAAAAACATGACCTGCCTATTTTGAAGCAATCGCTTCGTATTCCGGACAGATTTGTTTGTCCTCAAGGAACTGTTTGTAGTGGAATGGAAAGCTTGTGTATTTTGTTGAAAAGACTAAATTACCCTTGCCGTTACTTAGATATGATTCACAGTTTTGGTCGTCCTGTTCCAGAATTATGCATGATCACCAACACCGTCCTCGACTGGGTATACACAACACATGGCTATCGACTTACATCATGGAACCAACCATTTCTTTCGAGAGAGTGCCTTGAGAGTTATGCAATAGCAATTGCTAGAAAAGGTGCACCCCTCAGGAATTGTTTTGGTTTTGTTGATGGAACAGTTCGACAGATCTGTCGTCCAGGGAAGAACCAACGGGTGGTATATAACGGCCATAAGAGAGTACATGCCCTCAAGTTTCAGGCTGTCGCTTTACCTAATGGTATTGTTGCTAATTTGTTTGGTCCGGTCGAAGGTCGGCGTCATGATGCAGGCATGCTCAAAGATTCAAGTGTTCTTGCTGCCTTGCAACAAGTGGCATACAATCCAGCTGGTGATGTTTTATGCATTTATGGGGACCCAGCCTATCCCCTTCGCCCGCAGCTGATGTGTCCATACAAAGTAGGTGATGTACAGGTGCTTACCCCTCAAATTAGAGCCTTCAACAAAGCCATGAGTGAGGTACGAGTTTCGGTGGAATGGCTATTTGGGGATATTTCCAACTATTTTAAGTTTATAGACTACAAGAAAAACCTCAAAATACATTTGAGTGCGGTTGGTAAGCAGTACCTTGTTAGTGCACTCATGAGAAATATATTAACTTGTTTTTATGGAAATATGACATCAGACTATTTTGATATTGCACCACCAACAGTTGATGAATACCTGTCTTGAACTAATGTTTTAATTAATCATCAAGCCACTGACAATACATCCTAAGGTTAAACTTATTAGGGGTGGACCATTAGTGTAACACATTTGCAGGATATGAAAACCTGAAACAACATAACATTAAAAACAAGAAATATCATAACTCAGTAGCAAAGTCATGCAGCCATGGAAACCAGTCATGCTACACTATTAATAACAAACGAATCATTTTAATCTTATAGATTTGAATAGTGCAAACAATGAAAAATTTGCATAGCATGACCACTTGCTATGGCTAGCTTTGCCACTGGAATGAATTTGTTACTCTACAAAATGCAACAATTAACTAGAATGTTGTAAAATAAATAGAAAATGTCATAAATATGAGTCAGAATATAATCAAAGCTGTTCATCATTTTATGTCAACAAGATGTTACTTGGCAACCTTTTCTAACACAGCCAGCATTGCTGCCTGCATCTGCTTTTGCATCTGCATTTGCATCTGCTGCTGTTGTTGCTGTAAATTAAATTGTTTTTGTTGATTTTCTAGAAGCTGATTCATTTCTTGCTGCTGTGATATCAGCTCATCTTGTTTCTGCTGCTGTTTTTTCTCTCTGGCATCAAACTTTTGTTGTTCAAGCATAGCCTGTTGTTTCCGAAGTTCTATTTCCTGCTGTTGAACTAACATAAACTGCTCGGATCGCATTCTTAAATACTCAAAAGCATCACCACTGCTCTTCCTTTTTCTTTGTTTTCTTCGTTTAGTCTGCTTAGTCGTATTGCTCTCTTCACTACTTCCATCTGACTCATCTTCACTTGATCCCAATCTTTCTTTGCTCTTACCCCATGTATGCATAGCTGCATCCCTCACTGACAAAGCCTTTGCTCTTTTATCTTTTTCATGTTTGTTTTTATCAGTATGAACAGTGTTTAACATAATGTCAGAAATTTCTTCAAGAAGGATTTCAATTTCTGTTGGTGGATCTGGGCTAATACCACTTGCATTCAATTCTGCCCTTGTTTTTGACCGAAACTCTCCCATTAATTTATTAAACCTTTCACGTACAGCTCGTTGATCTCTTGGCATATCTTTGAATCCCTCATATGTATTGACCAATTTTGCAGTCTCGGTCCATCCTTGCCCAGCCTGTTTGCTGCCACCCTTCCATATATACGGTTCCACCACACGAACTTCTCTTAGAAGTATTTTGTCTTTGGCATCATCCCAGCGAAATGTGCCACTAAATGGAAAAGTATAAAATATAATATCTAAATGTTTTTGTTTTAATGTTAAAAGCTGGGCTGAATACTTGGCCAACACTAAGGTGGATTAACCCTAAGGTGGATTACTAAGGTGGATTAACCCTAAACCTTAGTTGAAATTTGATCTGCTGTTTTAGTTTATGTATTTCTGCACATCTGTTTATTTCAAAACTTCAGATAAAACAACTCCTACTGATTCAGAAAAGATCTCTGAAGAAATATTTCAAAATTTGTAGACAATATCTTGGGAAGATTGCTTTGAATTTTAAGTTAACCTGGTGTTTAATAAGCTACATGTAGATTTAATTGCCATCAAAATGAGATAAAAACTGAATTGTTCATATATTAATTAGTTATTTATTCTTTTTGATATCTAAACTTTCTAATGCTTCATATAATGACATAATCACTTTAATCAGTATAAACATATTAAACAAACACTGTCTTTATATAAAATCATACAAATCAAGATGAAATGGTTTCAATAGAAAACAATAGAATATGCTTGTAAAAGAATTACAAATTTAAACTCCATTCAAATTATGCGTTAACCCACACGACTTACTTGTTTCTTGTAGCAGTATTTTTCGTGCTGACAAAAGATATAAAGGCAAACAATGAGCCAAGTGAATAACAAAGTGAACAAAACATAATTAAATACAAAACTATAAATATCTCTGACACGGACTATTAAATGCACTTTTTTAGTGAATTCTAAATTGTACTTACTTTACTAATTCAGAACAAGATTTATCTCCCATTTTACTGTATTAAATCCAGCTTTTCTCTAAAATAATATAAACAGCTAAACATTTGGATTCACCAGGACATTCTTCGTTTTACAATAAACACAAACACGTGAATTATATTTCATGCCATGATTTATGCGTGCCGTTTTGCACGCATGCATATTCAAATATTGGGAGGCAAAATTCGTCACAATCTTCAATCTACAAAGCCTTATAAGAGTCATGAAACGTCTACAATGCCGTATTTCTATTAAAAGTATTTAATTCTAAACTTACCAGCTAAAAATTTGAGGAAAACCTTTACCGTAGTCGACACTACGAAAAACAGCCCTGATATTCACCGTCGCAACGTGACTACGGTGGGAAAAAAGCAGTTTAGTGACTCGACCCAGTTCTCCAACCTGTTATCGTCCGTAGTCTGTAGTCCGTAGTCGGTTATCTTAAAGTCGCTATTGTGTATGTTAGAACGAGGCAATAAGATCTGGAGTGGTATATAGCCTACGTATCCAGGGAAATAGTGGCTGGGCTACATGGTATGATATTACTATAGTGGACGCGTATTCTGCAATACTTCTATCTTATCCTGGTTGAACTGGTTCTCTTCAAATGGGATGATATATTATAGTTTTAACTCGCAATAACAGTTCTTGAGGATTTTCGGAACCAGAAAAACAAGTTTGTAGATCAGTACTATGGCATCGCGAAGCAAATCGTTCATCTTTCTACGCGTGGTCGTAGAGGAACAACGTGGAGTGATGGATATCTGGTGCACCAATGGCTACGAAGGGATTCATCGATAAAGCGCGGAGGCCTGGACACGGATCAATGATGCGTCCGACTATCAATGAGGAGTCCGACTGTGTACGGAAAAAAAATTGCCTCGACGACAGCTGGCCCAGCTGATTACCAGCTGATTACCTGACCCAGACCCAGACCGAGTACTTTACTCTTCTAAAACATCACTGTTCTTCGAAAATGTTAGCAACGATATATCATAAAACTTCTGGAGTCAGAGCCGATGACGGTTTCGCTGAAAACATTTTCAGAGGCGTAGCCAGGTTGGGGGCTGAGTGGCCAGCCATTTGGCGTCCGCTGAGAAAATTGATTCTATAAAAAGAAGTGAAACATGGCCCAACTAAGGTTTTTGCTACCCCCTGACCAAAAATCCTAGTTACGCTTCTGGAGATTTTGGAGCGCAGTGATGTTTTGATAAAAAGCAAATTACTCAGTCAGGTAATCTGTTGGTCTTGTTCCGATTTGGGTCTAACTGCTGTTGGATAGCATATTCAAATTTAGTTGAGTAAGAATGGACAGTGGGTTGTGTAAAAGCTGCTAATGTTAATTAGATAAAACGGAAACTTTCTTTCTCGTGGTATACACGCGTCGTATGCGCAAACTGTTATAATTAGATTGCAAACGTCACGAAATGTTGTTGTATAACAATACCTCCTATAACCTACCAAGCTGTTTCCCTCTTCTTTGTTTTTTTTTATAAACTGAGAATGATAATTAATTTCACAAATTAATTGGATTGGCGAAAAGGCGTTCGTGATAAAGGCGTGCAACAACGTAATACGAGGGTTTGAAGACGAAATTGGTTGATACGAAAACCGAGCTCGTGTGCGTAATGAAGTTCCAGTCCTCGTCAAGTTCAGATACGGAAAATAACGGTTACCAAAGCGATGACTGACTGAAATTATATTCCTTGGCCGTATCAAATCAAGTGAAATCGATAAAAACATCAGTGAAGCGATCGAAGTCAAGCAGCGCCGATCATTCATGCGCACGACGTTGATCCATAATATTATGTTAACGCCACTGCCCGACGAAGATTGATTCAAAAGTTACCGCGAAAAAAAGCAATCACGACGAACGTCTTAAGCAACTACAACAAAGGCTTGATGGTTCAGAAGAATTGAGTAAATGGTAAATATTTCACTCTGATTTTGTTGCGTGACTTGCCCTTATGTTTCGTGACTTGCCAGTGTTTTTACATAACACAGTATTCAAATTACAAACTATAATATTTCAGGTGAAAATGTGGCAATTGTCGCATTGAACTGCTTCGTAAATTGTGCTAAAGAGTGTCAATGTTGTATGGAAGTTCCGAAGTTGAGGAGTGCATCGATTCACGACGATTCTCTACAAAGTGCAGACATTGTGATTTGTGATGCAAGAAGCTGAAGTCGCGCCATCGTGTATAATTCAACAGCTTATGACTAGTCTATAGATAAGTCAGCCTTCCATTAAGCTCAGCAGCCACGAAATTACGAACAAGAAAGAAGCAGGAATACCGTCACACAAGCACAGAATTCGATGATAGGTAAATAAAGTTTTATTTATCAATATATTGAAATTATGAAACACTTTACTGTACCCGAGTTGAACACACGCATGCTGTACGGTATAAACCCCAGTTAGAGTTTATGGTACGTACATACTGTACAAGTATTGAATTATTATATATTTACATGTGTGTTCACATGCAAGTAAGCTACTTATTAAAAAGACTTATTGCTGCCGAACGCAGCGAGGCAGCACACTATTCTTGACACGTGGTTTCTCCAGAGTTTACTCGACCCAGTCTTTCGCGCGATCTATGTATTGTCGAGATAATTAATAATTAAGCTTCAGGAACGTTTAATTGTTAAGTGAGAGGAGCGGTCAAAACAAAATTTTGTATTGCGCATGCATCTCCATGTACTCAAGATTTTTCAAGCGTTTCAGAATACGGATGCAAGAGATCCAAAATATTCGGAAACATTTAGGTAAGTATGTCTCAATTTCTTTCTTCTAAAATACATCAAGGCGATGACTTTTTTAGTGTTCTATCTAGAGGCAAACAATGTGCTTTTATGAGTTAATTTCGGCAGTTTTAACTGCCCAAAATATACCACTGATGGCACTCAGTGATCGATTGGTCAAAAACGACATTGAATAAATGACATTTATTATGTCTTCTGGATAATATGTTGCCTTAAAAAAATAATAAGATAATATGATGATAATATGTTGTCTTAGAACCTGGTGTCGAATTCCTGTCTTTAGTTAATAACTTTACACTAAAGTTGTCAGTGTTTCAAGTTGTACGAACATGTTTTATTACGAGATATGTGATTCTGTGATCGACACACGTGATATTGACGCTGTAGTGTATGCGAAAACAACTACAACACGTGTGGATCCTTTGATGTACAAAATAACATTGAACTACCCATGGCGGTAGGACAAAACAGTAACAGCTAGTGTACCCATGATGGTACAACAGAAAAATATCAGTCTATGGGTTCGATTCCCACCGTGGTCAAGCTAACGTTTCAGCTTGCCCGTGTGGATGCACACTCAAAGTAGCATCACAAACAAAATAATAACAATCTACCCATTGTGGTGGAGCCCATTGAGGTACTAAATATCATTCGACAACCCATTGTGGTAACTAGAGCCTAGAGCCCACCAAGGCACAAAATAACATTGATCTGCCCATTGAGGCACAAAATAACATTGATCTGCTCATTGTGGTAGAGTTAAGGCACAAAATAACATTTGACTACCCATTGTGGTAGCTAGAGCCCACCGAGGCACAAAATAACATTGATCTGCCCATTAATGTAGTAGAGCCCATTGAGGCACAAAATAACATTCAACTACCCATTGTGGTAGAGCACATTGTAGTCTAGCCCATTGTAGTAGAGCACATTCATGCACAAAATAACATTCAACTACCCATTGTGGTAGAGCCCTTTGAAGCACAAAATAACATTCAACTACGTACCCATTGTGGTAGAGCCTGTTGAGGCAAAAGGTATCACTGATCTGCCCACTGTGGCAAAAAGTAACAATTCCAGCTTCTAATTTATGTGTGCAGGGGTGACGGGAAGTAAGGTATCATATTGCTGATTACCCTGAAAATTTTCAATAAAAACTGCCGAAACATTTCAATATTTACAAGTATAAGCTATCACTCCGTGTTTACACGGCGACCATTTTTATTTTTTCAGCATAATCAGCAATATAATACCTTACTTTCCATCCCCCCTGCACCCATAAACTAAAAGTTGAGATAGCCTATTCTGTGGTGACAGTGGTGCCCATTAAATGTCTCAAGTGTCTTTTTTCTATAGTTTTGCAATTCTGACGGATGTGAACGGTGCCATGTTAACTGCTGGATGAAACCGAATGGTTGTAACAGTCAAAATATAATATGGATGTAATACTACATCGAATGCAATAGGATGAGAGCTTCTGGATCAACAGAAATGTATTCCTATTAAAAACAAGAATCTGATTTGTAAGATTGTATGGATAAATTACATCTGATGCAAAGGGATAGAATCTGCCATGTATTATTAAATTACCGTACCGGTAGCTACTTATTTCCAATCTACCATATGGATGTCAGGAACATTGTATGTCATGATAATTATTACAAACCTGTATATAGCAACCTAACAAGTTATTGGACAATGATGGCCAACAATGGACACTACATTCTAAATGAATACGATAATCTACATATTCGACAAAAACAATAGTAACACTTGTTTGCCAAATGAAAACAAACAAAAGATCATCATTACTTGCAACAAACTTAATCGTACCACATTAAAAGACATATATATTTGTTCTTCCTAATTATTTTCTTCAGGACATTTTCACAAGTGAAGATCGACTAAGTAATGATTTTTATTGATATTTAATTTAATGTCAGTTTAAATATTGGCACCAAAAATAACATGACATTGTATAAATATAAAATTCCGAAGTACACTTTACAGTATCTAGTAATTATTGCATGTTGTAATTTCGATACTTTTTTGAACAAAATACATTCATTAATACAGTGTGTTTGCAAAGTATGCCGAACATTCGATCCCATATTGCTCGTTTAAATTAAGGTGCACGAAGTCAACCCGTCCCCTTTTCGCTTAAGCTTCGTGCATCCCGTCTCCAGTAAAAGGTATAAAATAAAGTGAAATGTCTTTCTTATAATTCAGTCTCTGTATCTGTGATATTAGAACAACCGCCTACTACACATCTATTCGGCAATTTTTCAGTTTCGCGATTTTTATTTGCGCTATTGCCTCTTTTATGAAGGTACATGCAATAGTATTTCTATATTAGTGAGCCAGATGAGTCCCTACTATTACGTCACACAAATTGTTTCGTCCCAGTCTCTTTTGCGCGGTTTTCAGATTCTTCACAAGGCCTAATTCAATATTTAAACTGCAATAAATTTTACACTAAAAAAGCAATTTCGATTCAGTTTTCGAATTTCCGTATATTTTGTATCGTAGATTTCGAAAATGTAACTACTCATTTTGTGACAGGGACACTTTAATAGTGACTGTGGCTTGATATACAACCGATTCAGTGATACATTTCTTAGATAGTGGGCACAGTTCTTTATTGTTTCGGGGGCAACTACACATGTCAAGGCTACTCGTGCTGGAAATTGTGGACAACGTGGATTTGTTGTGTCCATCGATAGTCTGCTTGATGTTTGGCATACAGCTGTAATTCATCTTGACTGATTATGGTTGAATATCTTGTGCAGTGGGTGATCTGCGGGAATTCCTCGTCAATTATTTTCAAGAAGGATTGTCCAACATTAGTCCAAATATTTTTACTATATGGTGGGTTATACCATATAATTTTTCTTTTACGGCTTCGCGGGGTATTCCTGTTAGTTGTTAGGTTTAGGGGGTGTTTAAACTGTAGCTTGTGGTTATAACCACTTTTGTCAAGAGCTTGCTGATATGACCGGGAGGCTTGTTCGAATGAATCTTGATCGGAGGATATCTCGGTTAGTAATGTTATAATGGAATATTACGTAGAACACTATGTGGGCGGTTAGACTTACTATGCACGTAAAGAGGTGTGTTGTTAGGCTTAGAGTATGGTTGATATTTACCAGTGGCTAGATTTAGTGTGACGTCAAGGAAATTCACGATTTTCTTGGTGCATGGCCTCGATAGTAATTTTCGAACCATGGTTGTTGAATAAGGCACACAGATCCTTCTTAATTAGCTCTATTTGGCGTAGTGTTGCTTTGATAATGTCCAAGCTGTCGATAAAACCACCAACTTCTATAAAATGGACCCTATAAAAAATACAAAACCACCAACTTATATAAAATGGATAAAACCACCAACATATATAAAACCACCAACTAAAAAACCACCTGCAACTTCTATAAAATAAAATAAAAACACCAACTTCTATAAAATAAAACCACCAACTTCTAAATCACCACCAAGATAAAACCACCAACTTTAAGATAAAACCACCAACTTCTATAAAATGGACCCTAAATCTTATAATGATCTTCTTCATATAAGAACATTATGAAAACCTATAAGACAATTCCGGCCGAGACAGTTTGCAACATTGAACACGAAGCTAAATCCATCGCTAAAAAATTAAATCTTAATGATATAATTAACACCACAGCACAGAGAGAAGCCTTTGTTACGTTGAAAGATCACAAACCCAATTTTGAAAACAACCCGACTTGCCGCCTTATCAACCCGAGCAAATCTGAAATTGGAATAGTTAGCAAACAAACCCTGGATAGAATTAATACGAAAGTCATCGAAGCTACGTGCATAAACCAGTGGGAAAACATTAAATCTGTGTTGTCCTGGTTTAATAAAGTTACTGATAAGAGCCAGTGCTCATTTATTGCATTTGATCTTCTTGACTTCTATCCATCCATCTCAATCGTTTTTCTGAAGGCTGCGTTAGATTTTGCGTCCAAGTATGATAACATCATAGATACAGAAAGAGAAATTATTTTACATGCGAAGAAATCGTGCTTGTACAACTCGGGAAAGCACCGAAGAAAGAAATCATCATCCAATCTATTTGATGTCACTATGGGTATAGTTTTGATGGTGCAGAATCATGTGAATTGGTCGGATCTTTTCTACTACACCTTACTACGATGAAGCACGGTAATAAGTTTGGTTTATACAGAGACGACGGCTTGGGCATTATCAAAGCAACATTACGCCAAATAGAGCTATAGTGAATCTTTGAACTGTCAGCCATAGGATTGTCCGAAATTATGACAACCCTATCAGTTAGCATTTTTGTTGCATGCCCAAATATGGCATGCAACTATCATATAGCTTAAAATTCGTGTCCGTTAGTGGTGGTGAAACTTGCGGCAGATCACGTGGGACGAGCATAATAACAATAAGCATAATTATAAATTTTGAATCGTGTGCACGTTTTCTTCGATGGTTTTCGTCGAGCAAATGCAAAGATTCGCAGAAAATTTACATAATCGAGCGCCTTAGAAAAATACATCGAGGTAGGTAAAGCTTTGCTGTTTTAATTTAATTTATATTCTGTTATTTTGTTGTGATTTTGGAGCCGCTGTGCTCGCACTGTTTATTTATCAGGCGTAATAGTATATAGCGTGAAAGGCCGTGCACGCTATCAAAATACTAAATTTAAATATAATACTCAAACTGAAGTGGAGTTATTGTGCTCGCATTGATTATATTGTGTGCAAAACTTCAAAACTACAGTAAATTTTGTAAATAACATGAAATATATTAAAAATAACAAACAAAATTCTCGTTAATACTATTGAAATTACAACGAAATAACATTCTACGTCGATAATTTCAATCGTAGTTTAACAATTATTTTCAATCTGTAGTAATTCACCGTTTCCATGTTTTTTTATACTTTCAATAAGGCTACAATAAAGCTAAATTTGTAGGAAATAACCTTATTTAGTTATAAAATAGTAAAGGAAATCTAACAGTCAATCG